GGTAAGGCCCCCCCCACCCCCAGAGGTGCTGCTGTGGGCGTCGGGGCCGGCCGTGGGGTGACTGCGGTTCCTCCCCGGCAGGGCCCAGGACGGTGATCCACCCCAAGGCCAGGATCATCGCCGAAGCGGGGCCGATCGTCATCGGGGAAGGCAACCTAATCGAGGAGCAGGCTCTCATCATCAATGGGTCAGTAAGAAGCCAGACGATGAACACAGGGCTCTCTCCGAGGGGGTCGTTCCCCAGCACAGCGTCTCGTTTTAGGGGAGCCAACACCCCTAACCCTGCCAGCACAGCTTTGCTGTGAACAGTGTCCCTCAGAGCCAGGCTGGATGGGGAGAGGGTTTGTTTGGGATTCCACAGTGGTGTTCGCGGGCTGGGTTTTGCAGACGGTTGGGGGTTTCTGAGATATCTCAATACATAGCCCATATCAGTCTTGTCAAACCTGAGCTTGTGCTAACAGCTTTTTAAGGAGCAGGGCGTTAGCTTAAAAACTCTGAGGTAGGTATAATTAAAAAAAACCACCAAAACACCATAAACTTTTATACTTTTGTCTGTGTGGCACTGTGGCTAGGGAAGGAGTCCTCCCTCTGTGAAGCCTTCTCCAGCTGACCGAGGTGAAGGATCCTCTCATCCTGAGAATGAGAGACTGTGTGCAAGAGCAAGCAGTCTCAAAACCCTGACAAGTTTAACCGGGTTTGAGTGGGATATACTTGACTTCAGCTTCTCACAAAATCAAGCTGCCAAACAGGACAGTATCTTTGTGATCTCAAAAATGTGAAATATATCCTTCCGTTTTGCAGGTATCCAGAAAATATTACGCCAGAAACTGAGGAAGTGGAGCCCAAGCCAATGGTCATTGGCACCAACAATGTGTTTGAAGTTGGGTGTTGTATCCTTGCAGCGCAGAGAGACACACCATCTGATACGCCACGCTTTCAGATCGGTGCAAGGGGAAGCGTGTGTGGGCTCCGTCAGGGTTTAAACAGCCCAGGGCTGTTTAAGGTGCAGGGTATTGGTTTGAAAATGGCGTTGGGGTTTACCTTTGGAAATAAAAGCAAAACATTTTACAGTTTTCTTTAACACAGACCTGTAGATTCCCAGGCAATGAAGGTGGGAGATAACAACGTCATCGAATCCAAAGGTAAGTCTCGGCTTATCATCTTGGCCCTCATGAGATTTTGCTCCTGTAGATGCTGGGAACAGCAGAGGATTACACAGTGTTGTCTTGCCCTAGCTGAGGCCAGGCTGGAGCTTGTCACAAAGCTGTTATTTTTACACAGAACTCACGTGTGTTACTGCCCTGGTGGGAGCTGGGCCGGGCCGGCTATGGCGCTGAGCAGCTTGTGATGTCGATGTTTGGTCATGCAGGGTTTAACCACACTGTGGGCATGACCCCGGGATTCCTCCCTCTTTCTCGCAGCATTTGTCGGCAGGAACGTGATCCTGACAAGCGGCTGCATCATCGGGGCCTGCTGTAACATCAACACCTACGAGGTGATCCCCGAAAACACCGTCATCTACGGAGCCGACTGCCTCCGCCGCGTCCAGACCGAGCGGCCGCAGGTGGGTGTGACACACGGGTGACACACCGTCACCCTCCCGGCCGCCCTCGCGATGGCAGCCGGTCCACCGCCTGACCTCCCCCGCATCTGTTTCCAGCCCCAGACGCTGCAGCTGGATTTCCTGATGAAGATCTTGCCAAATTACCATCACCTAAAGAAGACCATGAAGGCCACGTCCACCCCTGTCAAGAGCTGAGCACCTTCTGCTGCCGGTGGCTGACTGGGGGGTTTCGTCTCGTCCTGTGCAGCACGACACGGCCCTGGGAAGTGGCCAATCTCCGCGTCCCTCATTCCATCTTTGAAAAAAAAAAACTCAACCCCTTGCTTATTTGTGTCCTTTATTTATATTGAAGCTCTGGATCCGTTATCTCTCACGCACTAACTCTATTGTATATGTGCTTTGTCTTACGAATAAAATGTCACCTGCTCTTCTCTCAAGGGGGGACTGCCGTCCTTTCTGGGACAGGTACCCTGGTCATACAAGCACTGACATGGCTGCCTTCCCCTGGCCTCGGGCCGGGTGTCCCTGTGGCCACTCCTTGGGGACAGCCCGGGCTCTCGCTCCTTCACCGACCTGCCGGCAGAGGGAGATGGGCCTACACCGGGAGAGAGCCGGGCTCCTCAGAGGGAGGGGTCACATGGCCCCGCACCCCCGAATCCATGTGGATGGCGGGGTGGGAAAGGCTCCAGGGCCGGTGCCACCCTCTCTCTCTTGCCCCCCGAAAGCTGCCTCCTGCTCGGCTTCCCCTCCCAGAGGGTCCAGAGCGGAGCTGAAGCTCCTCTGCTCCTCAGCCCTTCTAATGGGCTTCAGATGTATCCACGCTTCCCAGCTGGCCCCTCGAGATTCCCCAGGGATGTTGTTCACAACTTCCCCTTCTATCCTTTTACAACAGCCCAACGTTCTGTCTCGGCACATAAGAAAATTGATGTTGGAGCAGAAATTCCCGCAGGAAAGAGATGAGAGAGCGTCAGCAACTGGAATCCCATTTACCAGCTGAGCTGCAGGATGTGGCGTTTCGATTTGGGACCAGGGGTTTCAGGTGGGACAGGCCAAGGCACAAAAACGGAACTGATCGGCTTTTTCTCCCCAAATTCAGTCGCAGGGATACCAAAAATTAAAACCCACCATTGTTTGCTGTTGTGATTCCAACCCGGGGTCCAGCGCTGCTGGGAAACTGCAGCTCTTCCCCAAAACCGAGTCCAAATAAGGGCTGCGAACATTGTCCCGGCCGCCACCGCCTCCCTGACCCACCCCAGCCAAACCTTTTTGTGGAGATGCCCATGGAGGGGGAAAACAATGGGAGACGAAACACATCTCTTTTCTCCAAGTTCTCCCCTTGCCTAAGGATAAGGCAATCTTCTGCTGGGAATTTACTCCAAAAGCAAGTGGCTCCAGCAGATTTGGATAACTAAATCGGTCCCCGAGCTTTAGATTCCCTCTCAGGGCCACCTACCCTCATAGCCAGACACTTCCCGCTCCCCCAAATCCAGCTGGCACGTCTCGTTTCTATCTCCCTCCCAGCACGAGAGGTTCTGCTCTGTAAATCACCACCACGGGGAGGCTGGAAACCAGTCGGTGATGGGGCTGAGTCTGTGCGGGCAGCCGGCAGGACATGCGGGCAGCTGCCTGCAGATTTGTTGCGACCACTGAGTTGCAGGAAGGCGAGCCGTGACCTTAAACGCCCGTTTGGTACAAGCCCTCTGCCATCGGCAGGATGTCCTCGGTGTCACCTCTGGTATCCACGTATTGTGTGCGGGCAGCATCTGCTCCAGACGTGGCTGCTGGTCAAACGCTCTTCACCCCGAGGGTCTCCGTAACGCCGCTCTGGAGCTGAGCACAGCCCTGCGGGACGGCAGCCCCATCTGTGGGGATGTGGCAGGGCTGGGGTCAATCTGAAAACAAGATGTAAAATCAAGTGAGCAGGGTGTAAGGTCCAGCACAGGCTCACCTAAAGCCCAGCCTAAGCAGGGAGTGGGGTGGGAGCCTAAATGCAGCCCTGGGGCAGTGGGCGGCTGAGACCCCAGGTGGGGCTGGTTGGGGCGATGAGCCCCTGCCGGCCCTGTGTCCTGCCAGGGGTGAGGGCAGAGGTGGGGTGGGCAGGGCTGGTCACCTCCCTCCTGTGCTCTGTGTCCCCAGCACTGTCCCCTCCTCTACCCCACAGCCCTGCTACAGCTGTGTCCTTGGGACTGTATCCCGTGTCCCCCAGTGTTGATTCCCATGTCCCTAGGACTGTGTCCCATCTCCCCAGCCTCTCCTGTGTCCCTAGCCTTGTGCCTTGTGTCCCCAGCCCTGTGTCCTGAGTCCCCAGCCATGTGCCTGGTGTCCCCAGGACTGTGCCCACATCCCTAGCCTTGTGTCCCATGTCCCCAGTCTCGCGTCCTGTATCTGCAACCCCTGTGTCCTGTGTCCCCAGTCTGTGTCCTATATCCCTGGGACTATGTCACATGTCCTCAGCCCTGTGTCCCCAGCCTTGCGTCCTGTACCCCCACGTCTGTGTCTAGTGTCCCCGGCCCTGTGTCCTGTGCCCCCAAGCCTTGTCGCCTGTATCTCCAAGCCCACGTCCAGTGCCCCCAGACTTGTGTCCTGTATCCCCAGGTCCCTCGCCTATGTCCCATGTCCCTGGGACCGCGTCCCACGTCCCCAGCCTTCTGCCCGCCTCCTCAGTCCCGCACCACCCGTCCCATCTCCCCCATCCCGTACCCACGGCCCCAGCCCTGCCCTCTCCC